CTGGGGGGGGGGGGGGGCGGATGAACCCCTGCAGAGGACACCCACACCCGTGGGGACAAGGAAGGGAGGGGTGGAGGGACAGAGGGACGGAGGGACAGGGCGAGCCGTACCTGAGTGAGCCCGCATGTGTGCCCGCAGGTGGCTGGGCTGGTGGAAGCACTTCCCGCACTCCACGCAGACGAAGTCTCCTTGGCGGGCCTGCGTCCGGGGCGTCCCTGGGTGGCAGTGGCCAAGGGGTGCAGATGCGGGAGGGGAGAGGAAACCATCATTAGTCTGTCTGATGCGACCTGAGGGGAGCTACCTTCCTTGAGGCTCCTCTGACAGAGCCAGGCACAGGCAGGGCCCCGAGCGAGCATGAATTACAGCGAATTAAACTCACTCCCGTGATGAGCCCGAAACGGCGGCTGTCAGGTGTGCGGCTCCGAGCAGCTGGATGCTCGCCCAGCCTTCTCAGGCTCTGTCAGCGGCACACCAAGCAAATCGGAGTGACACTGGGTGGCCAGACCGGGCGCCGGAACTCGGAGGCAGCAAGGCCGGGCCCATCCCCGGTCGATATGCTGGGCCACGGGCCAGGGGCGAGCCATCAACACCTCACCCACTGGGCCCGTACCTGTGTGTCCCACGCTGTCCCCACGGAGCCCACAGAGAACACCTGGGAATGAGGCCCTGGGCCGAAGCACTGGCCTCGAGTTCCCTTCTGATCCTAAGCGCAGTCAGCTTTGCTCGGAAAAGGGAGGCCGATATGCTCACTCATCTGAATACCTTTCCTGTTACGGTGTCTTGAAGAAAAGGCTAATTTTCACAGCATGGTGGCTCCACAGAGACTTCCCTGAGCTCAATGGTAACTCAACTCAATGGAGGAACAAGACACGAAACTACTCACTAGAGTTACCTCTGAAGCAACACATTTTTAAATGAAGCTCAGTGAGCTGTTTATGGACTGAAAGTGTGACATTTTAGTGTGAAAGGGTCTTAGTCAAATCAGCAGAACCCAAGTCACGATTCCCAGTTCAGATGCCTCCACAGATAAAACAAGACACACAATCGTTGATGCGTTGCAGGCAGCATTTATGGAGAGAAGACGCAAAGAAAGGCACGAACCGGCAGGCAGACCTGTCTGATTTCTCACGTTGACAAGTCATTAACCCGAGCCTCGGAGAAATTCAAGAACTTGCCCACCCAGTTCTCAGTTCAGGAACACAAAAAGCATAAGACACATCATAACCAACACTTGTCCCACTGTCATTAATGGAAAACCACTCACTAACGTTGGCAAGGGGCCCATGCAACGTACAACAAGAAAAGCATGACTCAGCAACTTCAGCTATCGCCCGCGGGCTCCTCTTCCCAAGAGTTTTCAGCAAGCGCGTGGGTGGAGGGAAAGCTCAGGAGGGCTGTCCCTTCTGAGCAAGGCCCTCCTGCAGGGGCTGGCACCCACGCCCCCACGTCTCCACTGAGTCTGAGTACACACATCCAGTGTGAAAATGGCTACACCGCTGGCTTTGTGTTCAGGGACGCCTTTCCTTCCTTATTTGGGTCCAGGAAACTCTCAGCTCAAGAAGCACCCTGTTCCCCACTCCCTTCCACCACCCAGAGGCGCTCCCATGGAAACCTCCTCTGACGGTCACCGTGGCTGTTCCGTTTTCCCAGGTACAATCAGACTGCTTCCCATGCACAGGCCCTGCCTACACCAGACACCTGCTAACGATGGTGACAGACAGCACGGCACTTGTGTCTGAAGTCACATTCAAACACAAGTCATTATAACACTTTTTCCCTGAGGAAATCTCTCAGCTGGCTACTTCCTATCCAAACTACTCCTCTACTCACCATTCTTACTTCCCCAATTAAGGATGCATCAGCATGCGTGCACACACATACACACACACGCACACACACACGCTTCCCTGCACATTCTGCCAGAGCATTTTATCTTTACTTCCTAAAGAAAGGACCCTTGTCCTTTGTGGTCAATAATATTATGCCAAAGCTACTGCAAAATTCTGAGTTAATCAAAAGGTTATGAACTTCATTAGAATTGAAGCCCACCTGGTGAGCGGCAGCGCTAACACTCTAACCCAGAAACCAGAGGTGTGCAAAGTGGAGTCGGAAGGGAGGAAGCGGCCTGGCCAGCCTTCCAGGGACGCTAACCCTCGTCAGATGCTCACCCTTGTCTGAAAGATTCAGGCCAAGGAAGCACAGTCTTTCAAATCATCATATTACTGCATCCCTGGATGAAGGGATTATTTTTAAGTGCCAATAAGAAAGACCTTACATAGTATTCTATCCAGTACTATGTCATTCCCGTTAGCTTTAGTTTTTTATTCTAAAACCCATACTATCATATGCCATTGGCTAGCCACAAGTCTGGAAACACAGATGATTTGTTATTTTATTACTATTCTATCAACAAACCATTCATGTTATAGTCACGTTTCCAGACTTGGCAGCCACTCTGTGGAACAATGTTTTTTCCGTTCGTAAAAGGTGAGTCGGCGAGCCCGAGGGAAGGGACAGCGTCACTTCCTCATAGTGCCTTCCTCTTTTGGCAGCACTTCCAGACTATCATTTCTTCATAAGCATCTTCCACCTGAAACATGTGTGGGGAAAGGTCTCTGAGAGCTGTCTTCCCTCCTGAAAACCCCTGATGTCTTCGAGACCCTGCCTGAGAGCAACGTGCTGTGTGAATGGAAACGTCACTGAAAAAAAAATCACAGAATCTCACTGGCAGCGCCAACTGCATCCCAGACACAACAATGCATTCCTCCTCCCCTGGAAGGTTCTCCCCCGAGGATTTCTGTTCCCCGGCTGCAAGGCGACGCTACAGGTGTAATCGATGGCCAGCACACCAAGGTGACCTTCACTCGCAGATGACACCCCAGGAGGAGACAAAAAGTGAATGCATCAGACGACAAAATAAGAGCCAGAGTGCCCACAGACTCAGAGAATAAACGTGATTTGGACTCGAGATGAATTAGGAGAGAACCCAGATTCAGGATGCAAGGGTCCACTGCCCACAGGGTTGAGGAGGAGCGGGCGCAGCCACAGTGGACAGCAAACCTCAGAAGGGGCGGTTACTGGCACGTGGAGCGACGTGTCTGTGATGACGCCCCTGCCTGAGCTGCAGCAACAGGCAGTCTCCCTAACAAGGACATTTACACTCCGGTCACCCCAGGGACCTCTCACCTCTCAGTCAGACCACACCCAGGCTCTGGATTGCCTTCTGCAGCAACAAACACCTCGAGAGCTTCCTAAGCAAACTTGCAAAGGAGGGAAAGGAATCAGTGAAGTACATAGGTCAGACTGTGGAAACCTGTCCAGCTTAGGGTGCTTGGGCAGGCGCGGGGCCCCAGGAGAGTATGATAGCCGTGGCAGGAGGCAGCACACTGTCATGGGAAGGGTTCAGGCGGGTTCTCACCCGCCCCTGAGTTGAGACCAGGACCCAGCAGAGGAAAAGGTCACCTGGGGGAGGCGGGTCCCTCCTTACCGGCAGGCTCACACGGCAGCCTGCAGAAGCGGATCTCGGTCCCTCCCCACGCTCAGGAAGCTCTGATGCTACAACTGCACTTGTTAGTGGAGAAGCACTCAAGAGCTGAAAACACTTCCCCTGAGCGACCCCCATAGGAGCGAAGGGAAACACTCAGTCCTGACTAGGTCAGTGTGAATGTGAGAAGGGTGATCGTCCAGGAGAGCACAGGTGCTTTACGGAAGGTAGAGCACTTTTCACATTTAAAAAGTAAATACTTAATTTCTTTTTTTTTAAGCCTTAGGACCAATTATATTTTTAAATTTTAAGGAGAAAGGAAAATATGTCAAGCTCCTTTGTATTTCTATCTCTGTCATTTGAAATTCTTAAAACCTTGACTTCAAACTCACTTCTTTTGGGGGGAAAACAATAAAAGCCACAAGCAGGCCGCAGGGCACCACGGGAGACCACTGGGGGTGGGTGTGGTGTGGTGGTGTGTTGGGTCACCTGTGCAGCCATGGGGCTGGAACTAACTCAACTGCAGGTCGGGTTACGGGGCAGAGGTCACTGAGACACTGCGAACGTGTCGCTCACGCGCCGTGAGGGTGCAGTAGGGGAAGGACTGGGCCGGCACCCGCCGACTCTCACCTGTCACCTGGGTCTAGAGCGTCTCACTTTCGGGTCCAAGAAAATTTGTATCTAAAGAACTGAGGCCAGTATCAGATCCCAAAGTCTGACCAATGTACTTCTGATCCATTACACAGCAAATAATCTGCACGAGTGGAAACTACGGCTGACTGTGTCGAGTTCGCTCGATGGAACTGAGACCGGAAAAAGTGCAACACTGAGCTGTGTGGACGCTGTTTCACCACCTACCAGGAGGCTTATGCCCAGGCACGTGTTGGGCACAGAGCACCTCTGCCAGGAGACAGGGTGAGAACCTTAACCAGGACCAACGGGGTCTCACTACATCTTACGAACACTCAGCATAAAGCCTCGCAACACCTCTGGGTGCCCAGGCCCTCGGCTCCACTCCGCAAAGTTCTCAGGGAGTGCTGGCTGTGATGTGAGCAGGACCCACATGGCTCAGTACTTTTCAGAATGGGAGCCAAGGCTGGATGCAATGCGAGCTCCACCAGACAATCTCCAAGGCTGTGCAACGCCCTAGTTTTCTCCTAGTCGAGAAACACCCCATGTTTTCTCTAAGGGTCAACGTGAAGTAAAGCATCGCTGGCCAGACCGAGGTGGCTCAGGTGCCTGTGGACCTGGGCTGGTCCCAAAGCCACAGGAGAAGAGCAGGAACTTAGACTTGCACGTGTCTGCCCAGTGCCATCACACAGTGGATTCGGGGTGCCTCTTTGCTGACATGACCTCACCAACCCTGAGCCCCATCCCCCAAAGTGCTTCCAGCTTAATGGGTGCTGAGGGGCCAGTTCTCAAAGGTCACAGTACTCGGGAATCTGCTTTAAGAAAGTGCAGGTGTAAAAAGAGAAAGTGCAGGTGTCAGATGGACACTTCTGTCCAAGCCGGTGAGGACCGCCCAAGATGAGAACTCAGGGACAGACCCCACAGGGCTGGGTTTGTCTGGGTGGTTTTTCATGGGAAACACTCAGATTTCCCAGGGTGCTTGGTGCGCAGTGAGCATGACCTTCAACTCACGACCAAGGGCATCATACCCAATGGGGCACGTGAAAACCTGCTGGCAATCCCTTGTTATTACTGCTAGGTGTCAACACTGAGGGACTGGCAGGAAAGGAAATAAGCATTAAGGAATATTTTTTCCAGAACTAGCAAAAGTCCATTCCCCAAACTTTAGATGGAACGTTTCTAGTCTACAGAGGCTTTGCTTACTAATAATGCTGGCACACTGATGTATATAGATATATATATATTTTAATTATATACAGTCAAACCTCGGTTCTCGAATGTCTCCCATCTTGAACAATTCGGTTCTCGACCAAGTTGTTCACGGGGAAAATGTCTCGGCTGTTGAACAAAACTTCGGTTCTCGACCCAACAACCCTTTCATGCTAATACCTGTATGATCAGTCACGTGTCTCTCAAGCTACAAACAAAGGAGAGAATGCACAAGTTGAGTCAATTTACCGCTACACCTCACGTTATTAGCATCTCAGGAAATTGTGCTGTGAAATATTTTCAGGGTATTTTTGCTTTTGTGGCTGCTCATTATTATTATTAAATATATACAGTAAGTCACTGTGGGTCTTAACAAGGTTAGTGATAGCAGCAAAGGGAAAAGAAAAGTTGTGAAAACAGTGATAGAGCTTCAAAGAGAAATAATTGCAAAGTATGATAGAAGCTAATTTTCCAAAGTAATAGGAATAAGAAAGGTTAAAACAGGGAATCATTTAGGGGTCTGGAACAGATTAATTTAATTTACATTATTTCCAATGGGGAAAAAAATGATTTGGTTTTGAACAAATTGCTTCTTGAACAGCCTTCCAGAACGAATTAAGTTTGAGAACCGAGGGTCCACTGTATACGTATAAGAATAAAACTTAACAAGGGACAATGAACATCTGTCGAAACTTTGCTTAAAATACCAAAGAGGTGAAGTGCCATGGAGGCGGCCTGCTCCTGTCAACATCAGCGAGGAGGAGGTGGAACTGTTTCCAAATGAACATCCCGGGAGGCAGCCCCAGGGCCACAGGTTAGACGCTGCCAGCAGGCGGCACTCCCAGCCAGAGGGGCACTCCCAGCCGGAGGGTGGGGGGAGCCAGCTGGGGCCACAACTGGGACGAAGGGAGGGACAGCACAGCTTACCTCTGTGCTCGGGCGCAGGGCCGCTGGCCCCCCAGCTCTGGCAGAGCGTGGCCAAGTCCTTTGGAATGTAGGTCTTAAAGATATTGAGGATGTCTAGACGCTTCTCATGGCCCTCGGGCGCCGGCTCCTGCTTGACGGCCTGCGGGGTGGGCTGGGCCTGCGGGGCTGTGTTCCCTCTGGAGCCCTGGCTGGCCTTGGAGGGGGGCTCTCGGGGAGGTAGAGCGGGGCCCCCGTCGTCTTTCACCTGCAGCTGACCCTGAGGCTGAGGGCTCAATTTGGCTTTCGGTGGGTCCGGGGCACTGTGCTTATTTGGGGGGCCCAGGCCGGCCCCCACAGGGGCGATGACATACTTGTCCCCCAGCCTGCTGGTGGCCGGGGGCTGGGAGCCCACCCGGGCAATGACAGTGGGTGTGGGGGTGGCACTGCTGCTGCAGCCACT